CCTTAGTATTAATCAAATATAGAACAACGCCTTATACCGATTTAATAGTAGCATTTAGTCTTTCTAACTCCTTGATGAAATCAATTGAGATTGATAACCTCAACACAACGGTTTCGGTTTAACCAACAAAATTAATCCCTCTTAAGTTTATTAACCACGACCGTGCATTAATAAACCGAAGTTACTCACTTGTGAAACCATCAACGATTAACCATCAGTTCGTTGATCGTTTCTTGTAATAATTAATATATGAAACAAAACTAGTTGATCCTTTAAGTAATGTTCAAAATATTAATATGAAATATGAATAGGAATTAATTAATATTCAAGGAAGAATATTATTAAAGAACATGAATCCTACTATAATTAATATCAAGATGTTAACTAATTGTCATCTTAGCAACACTCCCCAACATTAATATAGAGATAGTATTAAGGAAAGAACTATTAATTAATATTCAAGGGAAGAAGTTAAGAAAATAACTCACAACTTTAATAATCAACAAGCTTCAAGAGCAACATCAAGAATTGGAAGTTTAGCTCCTCATTTGGAGACTAAACATAGCTAGAAAAATATAAACAAATGCTATTCTAAACTGAGCTTAGAAGTATAAAGGAATTGGTGTCCTATTGTGAAGGAAAGGGGGGTGCATTTTTAGGCTTTTTGGATGCAGTTCGGGTACCTGATCGGGTATATACACGGTACCTGATCGGGTATGTGTAAAACGTCAACTTTGAAGCATACTCGATCGGTTCTGGGCTATATTCTATAGGTATACCCGACCGAGTGTGTTCTTATACTCGATCGGGTATGTGTAAAACTTTAGATTCGAGGTATACTCGATCGAATTCGGGGGTGAAGAAATTAAAGGCATACCCGATTGGGTGTGTCGGTGTACCCGATCGGGTATAGACACTCGATCGTGGTCAAGATCTTCCCTGCATGTTCCTTTGTTTTCGGATCCGATCCGATTTGAAATATCAACAAGATACCCGATCGAGTATAGGTCATACTCGGTCGGGTATAGACAAAAAAATCAGGATCTTCTTTATGTCTTATGATTTGGCACCTTCATTCTACTTTTGGGGTTCACCAACTGTCCTTTGAGTGATCAAAACATGTTTGGGCTCAGAATAAACCTAATCTAAACAATTTACAAGTATTTAACAAACTAAACTATTACACCAAAAGTGTGTAATTTCCAAAGTAAAAATCAATCAAAACTAATTAAAAACACAAAAATACATATGGAAATTACGAGCGTATCAAGGATCAAAATTATACTTTGAAATATTATGAAAGTGTATTAAATGATTAATATGTAATACATTTAGTTAATTATTATGAATAATAACTACTTTTTATTGTAATTTTGTATATAATGATATGTTTACTATTATTATATAGACATATAATCGTTGACCGATTTTCCGGCGTCGGCCAGGTTGACCCATCAGGTCCGGGTTGAGCCGTGATCCTATCGTGTGGCTGGGTCGCTCCCCGATCCAATTTTTTAAACATAGTATTTGACCCCTTAGCCTGCTCCATAATAAAAACCACCGTAAAAGCATTTTAGTAGATATCATTTCAGTTCTATGGTTGATCCAATAAGGATGTTTTTACTTGGACCGTAATTCGTCCCAGACCAGACCAGATCAGACCAGACCAGACCAGTTCAGACCAGACCAAACCAGATCAGACTTGGATAGTTATAAAAATACAAAGAAACTAGACCAGACCAGACCAGTACAAACCAGACCAGACCAGACCAGACCAGCAAATTACAGTCCAAGTAAAAACATCCTAATAGCACAAATGAAGTGTCACCTGCTTTTTAGGCGGCCACATACCCCTACGGAATTCCCTTCATCAAAATTAGAGTTGGGAAGAACCGGACAGAAACCCGTAAATTGACCCTAGCTCGATTGAATGATATTTTTGATCCGGGTTTTTTCTTTTTAACCGGCCCGAGTAAAAAAAACTGGACCGAATCAGAAAGTTCGGGCTCACAAATAGGACATAAAATCTATAACCCAGCCCGAACCAATAAAAAACTGAAATGATTAGCGTTAATATAAAATTAATATAATATATTGTTGGGTTGATGGCCCAACAGGGATTGGCCCATAAACCATTAAGGCCCACCCTACGAAGACAGGACAACAGGGGTACCTTCCCCCAGATCGAGACGAGGTTCGTCCCCAGTAGGACCAACCCTCATCACCAAGGCCCAGTGAACGTATGTATCTAAGGGAAGGCGAGTATCTTGGCCCAGGAGCAGCGGAGATGCTTGTCTCCTAGGACTTTGGACCCAGCAGAAGAAAGGGAGCAAGTATATGGGGACGTTCGTCCCCACCCATTGGCTAGCAGCATTTATTTTATTGTAAGGGGTTGACAACTTAGCACTCTAGCATTCTAGCAATTATATCAGCTCATAGCATAGCTCTGTACAAACAGCCTCTCGACTTTGTAACCATTTCAGTGTATTAAGACCTCTTATTGGGCCTCATCTTACTTGTTTGATCTTACTCACCAAAACATCCATTCGAAACCCTTAGGTTGCGTGTTGGGCATACGGGTTGAAGGAATAAATCTCAACACTGGCGCCGTCTATGGGAAACCCTAATCTCTCCAAAGGATCTGGTATTTATAGGGGGAGCACCTCACAATGGGCCAACCGTCGGGCGACACATGGCGAGGAGCGTACCTATGGACATGTGTCGCGTGGGAACGAACAGACGCGTAATGATTACTTTTCATCAGAAGTTGTATTGTTCCGCAGTAATCAGCACCTAGGGCTTCGTGAACCGCCGCCAGAATGCGGTCGTCAAATCAAGTACATCAACAAATATCAGTGCAGTGGAAGCGGTGTTTTACTTCATCATGTCCCACGCACGCTCGGAACATCAGAAGTGAGGGGACTTGTGTTCGTCCCCAACAGGACCAGCCCTCATCACAAACCGCCACTAGCCTTTTTCGTGCACTTTGTTCTCACTCGTGCACGACCTGAGAAACTTCCCAGGGGGTCACCCATCCCAAGACTACTCACGAGCAAGCACGCTTAACTTTGGAATTCTTAGCTGATGAGCTCCCTTAAACAGAGATGCACCTTGTTGTTATGAGTAGTACTATTAATCCTTTTAAATTAAATCTCAAGTATTACAATCACCCCCACTTAGGAACGCAATGTCCTCGTTGGCTCATAAACCAATCTCAATCATATCCCATAATCTTTTCCCCTGCTAAGTGCCCGCCCGATATGCAACGGAATAGCACACTGTCGCAGGGTTGCTTTGATACCACTTGTAACACCCCGCCCTGTAGGACCCGAGGTGGTTACTCCAACACACCTTCCAGACCCCTAGTACTATCCTCACAAACCGCCACTGTCTTTTTTCACGCACTTTGTCCTCACTCATGCGCTCCCTGAGAAACTTCCCAGGGGGTCACCCATCCCAAGACTACTCCCGTGTAAGCACGCTTAATTTTGAAGTTCTTAGCTGATGAGCTCCCTTAAAAGGAGATGGACATTGTTGTTATGAGTAGTACTATTAATCCGTTTAGATTAAATCTCAAGTATTACACTCGTCTCCTAGGACTTTGGACCCAGCAGAAGACAAGGAACAAGCCTATGGGGACGTTAGTCCCCAACCATTGGCGGGAAACCTGGATTCTGACGGGAAGCGCATTTAATGTAGAAGATTTGGTGGTTGGGACCCTGGCCATCTACAATCCGCCACATCAGTTTATCTAGCTACCCATTGGCGGTATAAATAGCAGCATTTATTTCATGAAAATTTATTTATAATAACTTTAGTTACATGAAATATAACTTTAGTTTTATTTCGTAATAATTTTAGAAAACTTATATTATTTGTTTATATGCATCTTAAACAAAATATTAAGATAATAATCATCTTTGGATTTAAGTTGTTAGTGATTTTGGAGACTAATATTTGTTGTATTATTTGTGTTTTGTATGTTTGATAAATTTTATTCGAAAATAGGGTTTAAAATATAAAAGGACAATCAAATGATTTCAAGTTCGGGTTTTTACCGGCTCAACCCGAGCCCGGACTAAACTCAAGCTACCAAAAACCCGATCGACTAAGACTGAATATAATGGATTTTGTTCTGGTCTCTAATTTTCATACCAAGGAAACGTTATAATTTCGGGTTTTAACAAAAACCTGACCCGTGGCATCATATTGCGTCTTGGGGAGCGGCGAAGGTAAACCCTAACCGTCTCCCCTCTCTTCTCTTCCTAAAGATGAAAAATTATCTCTTTCACAAGTATTTTCAAGTTATTTTATGTGGTTTCTTCCTAGCAATGTCTAGGGTTTGTGTATTATTCCTCGTCGGTGAAACCGATCGGGCGGTGATATTTTATTGTTGGTGGATGACAATGCTTATCCTGCTTGATTTGTTTGAGAGGTTAACATCAGACATCGGCGACTCCAAGACCTCAATTATTCGCCTTCCTCCTGAACCACCGTCGTGCTATGAAAGAAAGCTAACATTCGATTGAATCTTTTTTCTGTGGCTGATCAAACAGATGATATTTGCCATTTCTTCCCGGTAGTTGGTCAAACTGAGGATTCATCTGATATGACCTTTCGGGTGTAATCAGTTCTATTTCCCATTCTAGGGTTTGAATTATCGTTCTTTGTCTATGTTTACTTTTATTATCATTAATAAAATTAATAAATGACTCTTTTTCTTTCAGACACAAAAACCTGACCCTTGCCGCATTTCATTTTTTTTTTATAATCCAGGTGTCGGGGCTTACACTCCCATAATCCTGAATTCTATGAACTACCCTCCAAAGCCCTAGACAGTTAAGTCCGGATCTGATCACAGTCAACCTCGTCAGTACCGGCTCCAAAGGGACGAATACAGCAGGACTTACATCACCTTTGAGGCTGCTCCTCCCACCACACGAACCCGCTAACTTCATTACCATCTTCTCCCTTCTGTGAGCAACTTCCCCTAAATGTGTCTGGGACAAGTAACCTTCCAAAGTGAGCCTTGCAGCATTTCAAAATGTCGACAGCTTGCCACATTTCGCCACAAAAACATAAACATAGCTGAAGTCGCCGCTGCCGCTAATGAGCGCCGAGACCGCCGTCGAAACCACTACCGCAGCAAATGAGAACTATCGAAGCCCCCGTCACACTTTGCTACCTCTTTCTTTCAGACACCACCACCTAAGGTAATAACGCTTCCTTTTTGTAAAATTTTAAACCTTTTTATCCTTATGTTGTGTTGAGCTTATGGCAGTGATGTGTATTTGAGTAATATGTTTCCTTATTCTGTATATATGGGATTCGATTCAATTTTTTCTTTGAGTATTGTATTTCATTTTTATGACCAAAAGGTGTTTGTCAAGGTTGTCAAAGGCGTAAAGCGCACCTGAAGCGCTAGGAGTCTTCCAGCGCTTGAGGCGCAAAGCGCAAAAAAGCGCTCGCCTGACTCGGGTGAAGCGCATTACTTATATAAAGTCACATATACTATTCTATAAATACCAAATATGATGTATGTAACATCATATTGAACCAAATGCATCAAAAAAGCTAGGATTCACCAAAATAAAGTCATGATTCACAAAAACAGAAGTCTAAATTTAGAATTCATGGCTTTAATACTAAAAGTAAAACTAAAAGACACTGAAATCTGAGCCTATTTCCCCTCGCTAAACTTGTGAAGGACTATTCGTCATTAAAAGAGGAGTCAGTTTCTTCTCCATTATCTGATTTGTATTCCCCAACATCCTCTTCAATTTCTCCCTCACTTTCCTCATCCACAAGCCTACGAGTAGTACTTGAACTCGCATTTCTGGAGTGCTTTCTAGTATATCTTATTGGTTCTTCTGCTCCCGTTGCCCTACTCACAGCACCCCACGTCAAGCCATCACCTTCATCATCACTGAAAACCGAGTCATCTGCTGCACTTGCATTCACATTTCCAGCCAACCACTCATTGCAATCATCGATGTTATCTAAAGCAATCGGATCTGTGATATCTTTAGAGTCAAAGCGAGCTTTTAAAGTTGCATTGTACTTCACAAATACTAAGTCATTTAGCTTCTTCATTCCTAGCCTGTTCCTTCTCTTTGTGTGAATCTAGAACATAAAGAAATATACATTACTTGTTTTAAATGTTTAATATTTGATTCCTAGAAGTTGTCAATTCAAAACTTACTTGTTCAAACACGCTCCAATTGCGTTCGCAGCCTGAAGAGCTACAAGTTAGGCTAAGAACTCTCATTGCCAGCTTTTGTAAGCTTGGAGTTGTGCTTCCATACAAGCGCCACCATTCAGCTGCATTTTTTAGATATTATGATTTATGAAGAAACTATAGATATATTACTTTATGGCTACTGACAGTACCTGGTGATTTAGTCTTTCTTGTCAAAATTGCCAAATTGATTCCAAAAAGGCCTTCAGCTCTTGTATACTTGGACAACTCATCAATAATCTCTAGTTGCTCGCTTTGTTGTGGAACTAACTTTGCGATACAAGCATAGAGTCCAGTTGTGATCTCATTATTAAATTCAACTTGAGGATCATCATAGAAACATGCTGGATTGAGATAATGACCAGCCGCATGTAGTGGATGATGGAGCTGATCTTCCCATCTTCTATCAATGATTTCGAAAGTAGCTTTATAGTTCTCTTCTTTTCCATTGAAAGCCTTTATTATAGCTTCTTTGGCTCTATCCATCGCTTCATACAAGTATCCCATTGCCGGCTTCTTCTCATTGTCTACGAGTCGAAGAACTTTCACAAGAGGACCCATAAGTTTGAGTATGTAATATGCATTATCCCAAAAGGTAGGCATTAGCATAATGTTTTCAACTTGTTTCCCACCTATCTCTTTAGCCCACTTGCTGGAATTCCAGTCACTCTTAGAGAACAAAGCCCGAAGATTCATTTTTTGCTTATAGATGCTCTTTAAAGTTAGGTAGCATGTGCAGAATCTTGTCTTCCCCGGTCTTATTAGATTTCTCTGCCCCGTATACCTCCTCATTAAATTCAATAATCCTGTTCGATTATAAATAAAGTTAGTTACACTCATAGCCCGTTTCAAGGTGTTTGAAACCAAAGGCAGCTTCCCAATGTCCTGTAGCATTAGATCAATGCAATGCGCACCACACGGCGTCCAATATATTTTTGGCCTCTTGATTTCTAATAACTTACCACCTAACTTAAAATTAGTACCATTATCGGTAACAACTTGCACAATGTTTGCTTCCCCAACATATTCAACAAATTCATCCAATAACTCCAGCACCTTTGGACCGGTTTTTGAGTATGAAGAGGCATCCACAGATTTGATAAACACACAACCAGCCAAAGAATGAACCAAGAAGTTAACAATGCACAGTGGTGCTAGTCCAGCCATCTGCCATTATAGAGCAGCCATGTTTGACCCATATAGCTCTATGGTCAGCTAGCATGTTTTGGAGGTTAGCAACTTCTTTCTTCAAACATGTGACCCGCACTTCATGGTAGCTAGGGGGCTTCAAATTAGGACCATATTGTCCTATTGCCTCGATAGCACATTTAAAAGAATGGCTCCGGGCAACATTGAAAGCAATCCCGTTCTCGTAAAAACAGTTTGATATATATTGTATAGCTACTTCTCTTCTTTGCTTATCCAACTTCTCATCGATCTTCAATTGCTTCAGTCTTCCTTGCTTTCGCAGCTCCACTACTGTTTCTGGCTTGTTGAAGATAAAAGAGTCCATAGGACCTTTTAGTTTTCCCTTCTTTGAAGATGCTTTGGTCTGCTGCACATGACCAGGTCTTTTTAGCTTGCCTCTAGGATCTTTCTGCAGCTCCTCAAGTTCACTGTCATCATCTTCCAGATCATGGAATGCATCAAAATCCGGATGTTCTGGCAGTTTATCATAATTGATCTTGGCATCCTTTTTGGATTGCATATATTCCCTAAGCATCTTTTTCACATCTTCTGGACATTTCAAGCAAGCCTTCGCATTTCTATCCCCTCCTATTTGATGAAGCTTTGCCCGGTAAATCCCTCCGTTAGTTACTTTTCCACAGTAAATGCAGGTAACTGATTTAGGATCTTTTTTGTTAACTAAGTAGTTGTGTTTCCAAGCTGGGTCATTTTTTGTAGAGTTTTCACTTTCAGCACCACCCACAGAACTTGTTCCACCTTCCATATCCTAGAAAAGATCAAAGCTGGAATCAGATATCTCTCTCTTCCAAATACAGTGAGTCAGTGATACATATGGAATCAGTTTGATATATAAAGTTAAGAACATATAAGAATTAAGAACATATAACTTTAGTATGTATATTAGTATTATATACAATGTAGAGTACTATATATGTATATTTTTGTGCTATTACTGCTATATATTAGTATTTTTTCAATCTTTTTAGGTGGTGAGCAATGATAACATAGTTTTGAATATGGTTAAATTTACAGACTCCAGAATTACATTCTAAAGAAAACTACTACTCTTCTAATAAACACACCTCTTTTTTCAGTCATTCTAAAGATGGTGCTCTTATAAGTTTTGTAGTAATGCACCAAGATAATGAAAAGTTATACCCCCTATCTGATAAAAAATAGTTTGTGTAATCAAAGTACAACTTTTTTAACTATGTACTGCATTGTAAGTCATAAATGGTACTTATGTTTTAGAAACTTTTAATTAAGTTTGTTAAATATCCTAGAAAAGATCAAAGCTGGAATGAGTACATATATCTTTAGTACATATATAATGGAATCAGTTTGTTAATTGATACATAAAGTTACTATATGGAATCAGTTTGATATATAAAGTTAAGAAATAAGAACATACATCTTTAGTTCTTTACTCTTTAGTACATTAGCACATAAATCTTTAGTAATTAGTACATATAAAGTTAAGATATATATCTTTAGTACATATATAATCAGTTGGTTAACTGATACAGTGAGTCAGTGATACACTGATACATAAACTTTATGGAATCAGTTTGATATATAAAGTTAAGACTTAAGAACATATAAGAATTAAGAACATATAACTTTAGTATGTATATTAGTATTATATACAATGTAGAGTACTATATATGTATATTACAAGGCAGAGTACTATGACAGTATGAGTATTATATACATAGTAATATACTAAAAAATAAAAAAGCAGAGTACTATGACAGTATGAGTATTATATACAGTAATATACCTTGTTTACTGCTATGATGGAGAGCTGCGTATGCTTGAGATGATGAAGCTGAAAGAATCGGCTGGTGTAGAGCAGCTTGAGTATAGAGTGAGGGAGTGAGGAAAGCGAGGAGAGCTGAAAGAACCGGCTGGTGCAGAGCAGCTTGAGTATAGCGGTTTTTACGTACTAACGGTACTATTAAGCTTAGTTTTACGTAGGTTAAACTTACTTTAACCTATTGTTTTCATGGGCTGAGGACTGTTAAGATATGGGCTTTTTTTTCAAAGTTTTAAACTAAAAAAGGGCTGTCAGCCTTTTCCGTTTCAGGCGACTGAGGCGCGCGCCTATAGGGCTTCCGCGCTTCGTGCGCTTCTAGCGCTTATGCTGCGCCTTGCCCAGGCTTCCGCGCTTCTTCCTTACTCAGGCGCTAGGGGTCTGCCTCGCTGCGCTTAAGCGCAGAAGCGAGCGCTTTTGACAACACTGGTGTTTGTTAAAATAATACAATGAAATATTTATTAATGTTCAATAAAGTGATATAAACTACTTACATGACCACGTTTTCTAGTTGAAATGTATTTTGTCATGCTTAAAAGCTTGTTTGATGGCTTAAACAATGTTTCGAACTATACCATAATTCATAAATACATCTTGTTCCATTCAAAACAAAAACTTGAAATAATTGATGCCCATACTATGGATTTAACAGCTTATTGTGTGGCTTTATTGAGTAAAACTTTGTAAAATTGGGAGCTACTAATTCTAATTTTGGACATGGTAAAATTCATGTGCTCCATTATGCCCACTTGATTATTGAGGCTATCAACTCCAAAACAGACAAGTGCTCTTCATTTAGTCATTTCTACTTTCATTTATACAGAGACTTGAATTATATATATTGTCGTTTTTCTCCAATAACTTTAATAACTTTATAATCATCCGTAATGGATTGCATGATTTTTAGGCGTTGTTCAAACCTGAGTTCATGATTTAGATAATTCTTTCAATATTAGGATTTAATATTCAGGGGAATAAACAAAACTCAAATGTGTTTGTTTTAATTGCAAACACCATTTTCTCCACTCGCAGTTGGAAAATGGTGTTACCATTTCCATAAAATAGTGTTATGTCACTTACACACATATCTTATTAACTATAGTATTTCATAGGGGGGGGGGGTGTATTTCTACTGGTGTTGGAATTGAAATAATTTAAATCAAGAGTTTTATACCAAGATATATAATGCTTTGAATGTGGAATTTGAATAAGTAAAAAATCATCTTATAAGTTTCAAAGGAAATATCTAACGTGCGTGTTCTGTTCGTTTGATAGCTTTTAATTGGTTTGTTCTTGTTTGGTGGCTTCTTTTTTCTACTCAAGCCAAGTACTGTTGCTACTTACTAATAAGTAATAACTAAAAGAAGTCAAAAGCTGGAAAAACAAACAGAGGCTTATTCAGACAAAAAAGGTGGATGAATCATTTTCTAAGACCTTGGATTTACTCACAATACTCAATGAGACTGTAATATTTTCATTCATTTGAAATGTTTACATTTACCAATATCTTGTAATCTAATGTGTGCATATAAGAGGTGTTAAAGTTGTGATTCCACTTTTATACAAAAGCCAACAATGTAACCAGTCTTTTTTATTCGAATATAACATCTAACATAGAAACTTATGATATACTCCCTCCGTCCCGCAAAATAGTTCCCGGTTTCCTTTTTGGGCCGTCCCAAAAAATAGTTCTCATTTCCCTTTTTGGAATGTTTTGTGTGACTCACATTCATTTACCTTTTCCTTACTCAACCACAACCATGCATTTCCACTTTATTCCCACTTTCTTAAATTTCAATCCAAGTCAATGCAGGAACTATTTTATGGGACGGAGGGAGTACTAAATAACATCAATAGTTTGCCCAAAATAAAAAATAGTGACATCTTCATTCATTAATTTTAATGAGTTAATATAGACAGTGTAGCTCAAAAAATATGCGATTTTAGATCCAATTAGAAAGATTTACCTTTATCCATGGTATCTCTAGCCCGTATTTCTTGCACTTGTATTTAATTTTCACCATTCTTTTATTTTTCTAACAGGTTTACAGTGCAATAATGTCAGCAAAGCATCAACAAGAATTAATACACATCTAAAGTTGTGTAATGAGACGAAGGTACAAATAACATGACTTAAACCTAACATCTAGAGCTGCATAATAATTGAATTGAAGACAATGTTGTAACATTAATACAATGATTAAAAGACATAAAAGTTATTCTATTTTTTCTTCAAAAACTGCGGATACTTGATAAATAATGAAGTTCTCAGTGATTTCATCTATTCAATTAATTAAATTATTGACACATTAAAATTTAAAAAGACCCAAAAACTATTATTTTCTTGAATACTGGACACACATAAAACATACCTTCATACTAGTCAATTAATTATTTAAATGCTTGAAAATCTGTTTTTTCCAATGAAATCATTACCGCATGTGTAGTGCAACATAGCAGGCATCTTCAAAGCAAAAAAGAATAATTATGTATAAAGAAAAGTATAATCTTCAATGTCTCCATATCATTTTCATTTACCCCAGTGCCGAAAAGGCTCCCACCTACGGTGGGGTAAGGGGGGGTCGGATGTACGCATTCTTACTCCTGTACTAAAGCACAGAGAGACTGTTTCCGGATGACCCATAGTGAAAATCCCGTCCAAAATTGCATGGACTGACTGCTGCTTCATAACAAAGAAGCGCAGACAGTTTAGTGAGCCATTTTGCTTTATTCCATCATAATCTCAAGCCAAAAAATAATGAATCTTTGGCTCCATTGCAAATGATGGAAGCCTTCAATGTCTCCATAGCAAATAAAATCATATTGTGATAACGTTTATCTGTCCATACCGTCATAGAGAAACTGTTGATCTCAAGCTTTGCTTCGTTGGAACCGTTAGCCTCCTTGGTTGTATGCCTGTTAAAGTAGCAGGGAGTATACTATTTATAGCAGAAACTTGTTCATAGTTTTATGATAGCGTGTTTGCACAGATTTATATGTATTGTTTGAAACTTTCAAAGACCACATATTTTGGCTACTCGACGCAGCAATGTAAGTCTTGATAGAGTCTATGCACAGTTGTATCAGCAGAATTTTTTTTAAAGTGTATCAGCAGAATTTAATCATTGTGGGCTGTATTATTAATCATGAGCTCCCACTCCCCCAATTTACTATTCATGCACAGCTTTGTCTTTTTATCTATGCAACCTCCTAATGATTATGTGTGATTTTTTTGTTATTTTTCTGCCTATTCATTCTTCCTCTCTCGTGCAAGGCACACATTTCCCGCCCAAACATCTCTTGATTATTTCAATTTTGTATAGTTATAGACATGACAGTGCTATACGAAAAAAAGGTCTTCACTTTTAGGAAAGGGGGAAAAGGCCATTTATTCTTGTCTTCTAGAGAAAACAATAGTTAGTGGACTGGTTATGGAACTATTGCGGCCTGGTTCGGAAGGAGGGGCAGAGGCAGTACTAAAGCTTCAACCAAACACATCCCTATCTGTTGCCTACCATCCTCTTTTTGGACCCCATGATGATCTAATGCTTCTTGAGCTTGATGAGAAACTCCTCCCTGAATTCCTTCACCAAAGGTATGTAGTGTCATTCCTCTAGCCAACGTTGCAATAGAAAACGCTAGGAACTCAGATATTCAGCTCACTGGCTCTGGCAGGCACCACAGCCTAAGTGGGGCTTGATTGGAGTTTGGTGGTTACTAACTCGCTATAAGTGAATGTTGGCTTGTGCTTTCAGCCCATTATTGACTGAAATTTTCCAAATCAACATTTTGTATGTATAGTAGTTGGTTTGCATATAAGGCTGATGAAGCTGAAATTGGAAAGAAAAATAGCTGAAATAAAAAAGCTAAACAGATCTATTTCATTGAGTTCACATTTTAGGTTCAGTTATCCTGGATGTACTTCCATATAATGAACCCCAAATTCAGACAGTAGTCCTCAACTTGTGCCAAACATAGGCTAGGTAGAATGTGGTGTTGCCTAAGTGGAAATCATCCATAGGTTCCAAGGATTAAATGAGGCTGGGTGGAATTTTTACAATAATGAATGATAGCACATCTTTTTGTTCTCTTTTCTTCTTTCTTGCTTTGTCACCCGAACTTTTGGGGTCCCTCTGAAACTCGGAATATGATAGAGAAAGAAAATATAGGGAAAAGAAAACGAAAATTCGGAACAGAAGAAAAAGAAAATGGTTCAAACTCAATAAATAAATGTTAGATATTTTTACTAACTCTTCATATATGCTTGTATGCATGTATGTATATATACAGTATGTGTGTTCGTATACACTTCAAAGATTAAGAAGTCCAATTGTATGTTAAAAGTCTATCAGATTTTGTTTTCCCATTTTTCTTATTCTCCATTAAAACGAAATACTAACTAAAGATCAAGAAAAGTCGTTTCCCTTAGGTCCATAGCTTTTCTTTTCTTTTCCGCATTCTAAACATAGTGATTTGGTTTCTTGTTTCCCCCCTCCAGTGTGACTTTGAGAGGGCAACCAAATGAAGATGCAGTTCTATGCACCCAGTCAAAAACCTATGCCCTTAAATTCGTAGGGACGTCAAACTCAATGTTCCTTATTCCTCCATCTGACCAGTCAATCATAGAAGATGCCTCTCTTGTGTTGCATAGTAAAGACCAGATGGCTGTTTCTTCCGTCCTTAAAGTCGCCCCTGGCTGTATGGAACTGGTTGAGGTTTCTCCCAGATTAGATAAGCTCAAAGCACTTCTCTCCCAAAATCCTTATGGTTTTTATGATGATAGGGCTTCTTCAGATATGACAGATCAGAGTGGATTTCTATATAAATGGGATGATCTGGTGGAAAGTATTCAAGCCAGTGACGGTGAGCTAGCATCCGGCTTACAAGCTTTGCCTGCAGTAGAGATTAATGGATACTGGAGAATTTTAGATGAGCAATATATGGATGGAGTTCTTAACATGCTTCTGCACAATTCAGTCATCAAGAACTGGTCTTTGAACATGTTGGATGAAGATGAAGTTCTTCAAGTGTTGGAAGGAGATGGATTTCCTAAGAAAATTGCAATGCACTGTTTGGAGGTTCATGGGAGTAGAGATGATGAAGGCTTGGTTTGGAGGATGGATGAGAAGAGGATCTGTGTGCACTTCGCGAGAGGGATATTGAGAGGAGGGAAGAAGATGAAGATGGAAGGTTTCATGGAGCAATGGAGATTGAAGATTCCAGATGGGATGAATGTGACTATTGAGATGCTGGAAGGGGAAGTGTTAACTGAGAAGATGGGGATAGAGACTTGGGTATATGCTTTTAGTGTGTCTTCATTGTCTTCCGTTCCTGCTGAGAGGTTTTCGATGCTTTTCCAAGAAAGAGCAAGATGGGAATGGAAGGATATGCAGCCATATGTTAGGTGTGTTCTTTTCTCCATCTTGTTTTTCATTATGATTCCACAGCAGTGTGCCTTTAGTAAAAAACAACAGGTGGGCTTAGGCTACATTTTTTTAGTGAAACAAACTGATAAGCTGGCTTATAAATCAGATACCGGATTTTAAGTTAGTACAAAGCAACGTAATTACTGATTTCGTAGTGTTGATCACAAATGCCAAATGACATAAAAAAGAATATCTTTAAAGATGGAATATAACGTCTAGCTTATCTGTAAAGGTACTAGATGAAACTTGTTAAATCAGCAAGTTTCTCCAACCGGACCAATTTATTTGAATAGCTTCCATTACTAGTATAGAAGTTTTAAAAGCTCATTACATCTAGCATATATTGTCAGGTGAGCCTTAGTTTTAAAATACTAGGGGCATAACGAGAGTATGAGGCATACAAGCTATGCTTTAGGATGTTTTTACTTGGACTGTTTTCAGTCTCAGACCAGACTCAGATAGTTATAAAATACATAGAGACTAGACATTTAGCAGACCAGACCAGAAAATTTCAGTCCAAGTAAAAACATCCTTAAAATACAAAAAAAGTGACATAATGGACTCATGTTATAAAATGATTTTGATGTGAAAAACAGATGTTAAAGTAGGATTGTGTAGCTTGTTTGAATATCTCTTCCTTTTAGTAAAGCCAATAATCACTGCTTAACTAGTAAGCTAGCTTATTGTGTGCTGAAAATAGCCATAAGAGATAGAGTAGCTTCTTCATGCCATGAATTCTGTGCTGGTGTTTGTTTTGCAGGGACCTAAAAGTGCCCGGGATGTCTTTGGAGGGATTACTTCTGAAGTACACCCGAAGAACCCAACCAACAGCGGATGCAGAACCCATATTCAGCGCAAGATAGATATTATGTGTATATGTGGAATTATTGTGGTAAAATCTTATATCGGCTAAAGTGGAGGCTCTTGCACCCTTCCTGTACTCTCAAGTCTCAATTCGGCCCTTGAATTAAAAAAAAAAACTGAACTCGATAGAATGATTTAAATTTCATTTCTTCAAATAATGTTCCAATCATCAGGCATGTCACCTGGTAGGTTGCTGCATCTGATGTTGCATTTTAATGTAAAATAAACCCATAAAAAGTTATCAAATTAATCAATTAGAGACCGGGGAGAGTCATCTTATCCATTCAATCTTTTTGGAAGGCCTCTCTCCCTTTCACCTTTAACCTGTTGTGAGATGTGAATAACCGCGCCACATTTTTTCTAATCCCAACTAGAGATAGAATTCCAAAATCAAAAAAGATGTTTGTACACACTCTTATACACACTTTTGTACACACCTATGTCTGTGAAAGTTTTTTTTTTGTCTGTGAATCCGGTTCACAGACAATGTTTTGCACAAACAAAATATTGTCTGTGAACCGGATTCACAGACAAAAAAAAAGCTTCACAAACATGGTGTGTATAAGGTGTGTACAAGGGTGTGTACATCAAGAATGGTTGATCTCCCTTTCACCTGGTTGTGCTTGTTTTTAGATAGGGTTATGTGTTTTACTTTTTATCAAAGTGGTTCATGTGTTTGAATTCCGTTATCACAACATGGTCTTCATGCCGTTAAAATCGCCGGAGGAAAGCGATGAACAGTAACTTCGATTTCAAAAATGCTCGAAAAATTAGAAAAAAAGTACCGGAAGGTGTGCCTCAATAAGATGATTGTTAGATCATTTTCTTTTTTGTTTCCAGTCACCTTTGTCACCAGAAAGTCCACTGAAAAATGATACTGCGTATTAGCGAATTCATTTTTAAGAAATTCCAAAGGCAAAGGTAGTTTGGAGGTCATCTTGTTGAGATGCACCTTTCGGTATTTTTCTTTAAATTTTTCAGGCACTTTTGAAATTCGGAGTTACTATTAACCTTCCTCAGACGTTTTTAACGGCATGACCCTCTTGTGATAACGGAATTCAAACACATGAACCCTTTGATAAAAAGTGAAACACATGACCCTATCTGAAAATGAGTCCAACCGAAAGTTCTTTTCCATACTTTTCCCAAATATAAATATAAAATAAAGTACAAGTTGAAGAAATAAAATATAAACATTTAAAAAGGCGTGAATTAGAACCGTTTAAATTTTAGTGGAAATTCAAAGTATAAATTGAAAGATAATTTATGTTATTATCCTAATTTATATAAAACTTTTATGCGTTATACTATCCTAGCATTTTTACATTATAATATTTTATACATTATAATATGTTATACATTCATTTTTTATTTATAATGTATTTTATAAGTAATATTAGTGTTTTTACTTTATGCTGATTTATATTTTATGCAGTGTATTATGGTATTTTACTCAAAATACAAAATTGCATTTTATACATTATACTATTAGTATTTTATAGATTTCTAATTTTTGTTTGATGTATTATATTGATATTTCATATTATACAACATAGTTTAGTTCATCTGTTTTATATTCTACAATATAATAAGGCTGACACTGATTTATATTCTACAGTTTTATATTTCTATAAAGTATATTTCTTGAAATTTTTCCTAAACAATTGGTAATGGAAGTTTATAAATAAGAATGTTACTAGAGTTAGTCTCTATAGTAAATTGAGTGTAAATTGAGTCTGTTTAATTCAGTAATCAAATTGAGCATTTGGGACAACTACGAGGCCATGTTTGATCATTTAACCTTTTAAATAATACTATCTTCATCCCATAATATAAGATACACGTGATTTGATACAAGTTTTAAGAAAACAAAGGAGAAGTGATGTTTTTTTACCCGACCCATTGCCATGCATATATGGCAATAAATAAAGCTTACATGTTTCGATAGCGCACTAAAAGTTCTATTGACCAGAGGAACAATGAAGGAGAATTAAGTTTTGTAATGGATAGTAGTAATTATTTATTTGGTTCACCAGAATTCTTCACCTCTAGCCCATATGTAGTGCTAGGGTATTAGGAATCCAAAATGCTAAATGTGGAGCTTTTGGACTCCTAAGTGTGTGCATCGGTAGATTAACTAGTGTGTTAAAAGTGAGAAATAGGGCGGAGGGTTTTAATTCCTTTTAAATATAGAGGGAGAGTTGATCAGAGGGGAAAAAAGAAAAAAGACTGGAAAGAAAGTCCAAAACGCTGGGCAAGCGCTGCCTGCTGTATACGAGTGGCTTTATGTTAGCGTCAAAAATTCTCATTTTGTTTTAAAAATGCTAATAACATTTTTATTTATACTGAAATAAAAAAATCAAAAATCATAAATTTTTATGATGTTTCATATAACACTGATATTACAAATGTAAAGTGAAAAAAATTCTTAAGTTTTAACTGCTCGCATTTTTTCGAATAGAAAAAGAAACAAAATTTTAATCCATAGTACCTCTATAAATCATCAAACTTTACATGAACTCATTTTATTTTTTATTAAAACTGAAACAAGAAAATAAATTAACTAATTTTTTAATTTTCAACAATGAATTGTTTTTAAATTTCATGATTATTCAGGGAAAAAAATTAATAATTTTTTAATAAACTGATATGTAAAAAAATATGTGAGATTTTTTTATTTACAAAGTTGAAATACAGAAAATAACAATATTAGCCGAGTCTAAACATGGTTTTCATATCAATGCAGTCCATATATATTTTTAGACAGGGATGCACATGGTCTTATGTTTAAATAAAATACAAATATTGGGTTTTTGTCTGATCATAAGATTCATATAAGTCATAACACGAACTCACGAAGTTATGGTTCATGATTTTTTATAATCCTGCCAAAAAAATAACTAAGAGATTTTTACAGCATTTGAGGATTGGAACAACACCATGTCAGTTTTATTTCCGAAAGGAGATGGTGCAAAATATTTACACAAGTATCAAAAGGTCATGCGCAGACCTTACCGCCATATAATAGTAATCAAAACGTTAAAACAAAATAATTTCTCTAGTCCAAGCGTCAAAAAACGGGCACCAAAATATGAGAAACCATGACTCAGTGAGCATATGACATTATTCCGTATGTAAGAATAAAAACGTAAATATGATCACCATGGGGGAAGTTTCATCTGTGAAAGAACTTTAAGAGTGAAGGGATAAAGTAGAGGTAACTTTAATCAGTCAAACAAAAACTTCCTACGCCTGCTTAATATAATCAGTCAAAAGAAATAACCTCCTCGGAAACATCGAGCAACTCTTCGACCTCAACTTCTTTAGCCTCATATTCCTCCTCCTCATCACTTGCCTCCCCATCACGAAGCATTTGCCTCTCTAACCTCTCCTCTTCATGCAATCTCTTCCACTCACTGATCCATGTCTCCCATTCCTCCTTCAACTTCTTTCTTTTCTGACGGTCTTGTTCACTTAGTTGCAGTGAAACGTCCTGATCTTCAGCCTCATACTTCTTGCTGTACTTCTTGAGATTCTTCGCAATCTCCTCCTCTTTTTCTCGGCTCAAGAAGGAAGGTGGTCTTGGACGCCACAAGAACTGCAGCAACACATCCAATTAGTCAATGCAAAATGAGGCATACAGGTAGAAGTGCAAATGTGACACCTCTTACGGTAAGAAAGGAACACACTTTACCTATTCTGGGGAAGGAGGGGGGGGGGGGGGAGTAATGAAAAAGGAAAATCCATTATTCACAAAAATATTCATACTCCTTAACTTTGAGAAAATGTATGTTATGAAAGTGAAAATCTATTGGCTAATTCCTTGTTTTAACTTAATCCAAACACAAGAGGTGACAATAAGAAATGAAAAAGATATATTTATTTGTCCCTACTTATTTTCTTCTACTCTAATTGACAATTCCAAGATAAAGTCTATACAGAATACATAGCAGGATACAAGCTTACTTGGAAGAAATGATCTTTCAGAACCCGATACAATAACTTCCCATGAAAAGACCATACATTGAAACCATTCTCCATCTCATGAACAGAGGTGACAGATGTAGCAACATATCTGCCGATGAATAGAGTTGTACAGTTAGAACAGACTACGATATTAAGTGGTATTTCTTTTTTCCAGTAATTATTAGAACTTTTTGGCACATCCATGTAAGTGAAGTTATACTCCGTATAAGGGTCAAAAACACCTGGATTTGTATCTGGACTAATACACTAATACTCAATTTGCACTTCAACCTGCTTATGAGTTATTTGGTCCTCAACTTAGAAATTAAGAAGATCCTAAGAAATTTGTCCTTTTACATTAAGGACAAATTTATGCCACATTTTGGGTCTAAATTTGCGGATCAGACAAGAAAACCTTTAAATTTTGAACAAAGACAAATGAAGATTTAATATAAACCCAGAGAGAAGACACTTTTGCTCATACCCTCACTTATTTTATTAAAAGTTACCTTCCGGTAGGATCCCATTCGATGTCTGTTGCCATGAAATGCTCTGTATTAGCCATGGTTTCGAGCTCATCCGCATCAAAGAACTCCAATTGCCCATTGAAACCCCTCAATCCAGCCAATATAATAAACCGGCCTGTGGGTGACCAATATAGAGCATTCGCTTGCTTACCCTTGAGTGTGGCAAGTTTTGAAACTCTTCCTGTGTTAGTTCCACTCCTCATAGAATAGAAACTAATATCTGGCTTAGGGTTGTCACCGTGGATAACAGCAAATCTGTGCCCCTTAGGCTCCCAAGCAAAAGCAATAATCTTATCGTTCTTGTTCTCAAGCTCCAAAACCTCAATGGGAATATCTCTTTCCTTGATTCTGAACAGCTCAAAACCTGTATATGTGCTCTTTTTTGTTTTAGTGTACCGGTCAACTTTAACAGCAAGGTACTCTCCATTGCTTTGCCAATACATTTTGCAGTCACTGACACTGAAAAGGTTCTTCTGCCTCAATTCCTCCTTGCTTGGAATTTGCACAAGACTCACCTATTAAAAAAAATTAGGGCTTGTTTGTTAAAAGGTCATTTGGCTGAAATTTATGCATATTCTACTCAAGAGCAAGTCAACAACTACTTTCTGCTTATACTAGTAAATAGTAATAAGTACAATAAGCAAAATAAGTCAAATACAGCATTAGTTTGGAATATAATAAAATCTAGCAGTGATAAGGAAAAGGAAAAGGAAAAAGGAAAAAGGAAAAGGAAAAGGAACAATGTACCCTTGCTGGCTGATTTCCTCCTCCAAGTTCGGGAACATAAAGGGCAAGAATAGGATCAGTTGGAGACCAACTGAAGTCAAGAA